ACACTAAAAAGGCATTATTGTCATTTTCACAGTATTATTCCAACCAAATAGTGTGGAAATACATATAAAACACAGGGAAATCACGTTTTTGACTGCACTGGGCCTTTAATATATAAAAAAAACTAATAGCGCTTGACAACATGCAGGGTTTAAGTCCTAATTTTCACTTTCAAAAGCCTACCACCAACTCAATGAATGGCATACTTTCATGCACTGGTTTATCATCTAGGTTATCATGAAAATCTAATTTAAAATCATATTCCATTTCAAAAGCTGTGATTCTAACGCACATCTTCAAACCTTATACGATTTAAAAAATAAATAATAGGGTGGGTATTTTTGCAATAGCACAATCCCAGAGATTAGCAACTAATGTAGGTGTTATGGGCTATATGATTCCTCCTCTCGATAATACCGGATCAACCGTATTAACAGAGAGAAGCGACTAAACAGAAAGATAAGGTAAGCAGACGAACCTGACGGAGTAGCTAAATTCGCAGTAATAATGTCAGTATGGTGCGTGGAGTGTCCCGGCGCCTCGCCGCTGTCCTCTCTCCATCGCTGGCGTCTCACGAAGTAAAACAAACTGTCCCGTTAAATTTAGCTCCACCTCCACTGCGACCCATAGGGAAACCCTCACAAGAATCCAACCCGAAGACTTCTTTAATAATCCTTCTTTTTATGACAACTGAGAACTCTCCTAAATCCTATCCCAAAATGTGCCCTGGTGTCAGTGAGAAAAAGCACAGTCAGAATTGCAACAAGTTTTCATGAGCAGGGAGGGGGAGTGAGAGATTGAGGGAGGGAGTGTGCGTGTCGCTGTAATTAGTGGGTAGCGCGGAAGCTGTAGCCAACTCGCGTGCACGCATTGTTTGCAGATAGAGAACATGGGAGCACGGGGGGCATTTGATAATGCTGTTTCACCCACTACACTACCGTTTGTTTCTTTTTGACAGAGTTCCCCAGTCAAGAAACCAATTAACGGATATATAAATTGCCTGAGATGCCTCCCACTGGGCAAGAACTGGTTACATCAACGTTGTTTCCGCGTCATTTAAACAAACAAAAAAATATCTGATGACATTGAATCAACTTGGAAAACTGATTGGATTTGCAAAAAGTCATCAATTTAATTGGTAATTTCGTATTTTTTTTCACCCAACATTTAACCTACCGGTAAATCTAATGACATGGTGACACTTTTTATTCATTTCACCTTGAATTCACGTCAGTTGACATCTCAACCAAATGTAACTCAAAACTAGCCGTTGAAATGAAGTCTGTGCCCAGTGGGCTATTAACATGAACAAAGTGAGTGGTTATGAATGGTTATGTAAGAAAAGTCATGGTTAGGACTATGGCTGTGTTGCCTATAGGCTACAGTTTGCTTTCATGTGTCAAATGACATTATTTCTGTACCATCTAAATGGGAGTTCCATGCCATGACCATTGCGCCACGTACACGCTACATGTCCAAATGGTTGATACCAGGCTGGCAAATAATACATGTGTTCAACATTGTTGCGCTTTGATGGGCAGCAGGTGACACTGCACAGTCACATGGGACTGGGTGGCGCGTGGGACAGGCTCGGGCGCGTCCCCTTACTGTACCAATAAATATTATTGGAATACCCCATAATACAGTGGAAAGAAACACAGATGTATTTTCAACAATATCACTCCATTACGCATATGCTTGAAATATATCGAGAGGGCGATTAGGCTTGTAGGCCTACAGCAAAGGGATGAACAATTTACAAATGACAGTAACATATATATAAAAAGAGAGAACAAAGCTCCAGAAAAACAGGTCTCTCCTTCCAGCTCTCTCTGCAGCCGAACCCCATGGAAATAATTCAGCGCTTGTTCCATCAGCCGACCTAGGCATAAAGCTGTTATTAGAACATCACAGGGATCTACGGTGTGAGCCTGCACGCGGGGTCATTCCTGACAATGGAGTGTCACCTGTAGGCTACTGACAGCTATGTTTTGGGGGAGAGAGAGAGTTGAGAGAGAAACACACAGTGAGAGAGAGACACAAGAAAAGGGCAACCAATGAAGAACAAACACCATTGTAAATACAACCCATATTTATGTTGATTTATTTTCCCTTTTGTACTTTAACTATTTGCACATCATTACAACAATGTATATAGACAATGACATTTGAAATGTTTTTATTCTTTTGGAATTGTTGTGAGTGTAATGTTTACTGTTCATTTATTGTTTATTTAACTTTTGTTTATTATCTACATCACTTGCTTTGGCAATGTAAACATATGTTTCCCATGCCAATAAAGCCCCTTAAATTGAATTGAACTGAGAGAGAGAAAGACAATGGTTAAATGCAAGGTTTATCTTCATCCACATGCAAGTATCTCACCCAAAAGTATCTCTCTCTCTCTCTCTCTCCCCCCCCCCCTCTCCCCCCCCCTCCCTCTCTCTCTCTCCCCCCCCCCTCTCTCTCCCTCTCTCTCTTTCTCTCTCTCTCTGACACACACACAGTTTCCTGCTATTGCCTTCCTCCCTCCCTGCAGTGCTAGGTGTGTGGTCATTGTCAGGAGGACTGGAAACATATTGGTAGCCTGGGCAGATCCCCAGCTATCTGAGGGACCATCAGGTCTATTTAAACTGATACTTTTCCCAGTGTTTAGTGTGTGTGTGTGTGTGTGTGTGTGTGACAGAGAGAGAGGGAGAGAAAGACAGAAAGCAGTCAGAGTGATATTGTGAGATCCCAGCTTTAAGAGGTGGTACCGGTGACATCTGGTCAGATCAAAACATCCTGTGTTCCTTGCTATCCTGTGTTCCTGTCATCCTGTGTTTCTGTCATCCTGTGTTCCTGTCATCCTGATATCCTGCGATCCTGTCATCCCGTGTTCCTGTCATCCTGTTATTCTGTGTTTCTGTCATCCCGTGTTCCTGTCATCCTGTGTTTCTGTCATCCCGTGGTCCTGTCATCCTGTGTTTCTGTCATCCTTAGTCCTGTCATCCCGTGTACCTGTCATCCTGTGTTTCTGTCATCCTGTGTTCCTGTCATCCTGTGTACCTGTTATCCTGTGTTCCTGTCATCCCGTGTTACTGTCATCCTGTGTTGCTCTATGAACACATCTACTGTGTCTGTCCACTGAAGGGACAGTAGGTAGAGCTGTTCACTGACATGAATGACTCCTTACTGCCGCCCCTGTTTTCAGGGAACTGTCTTTATACTGTACATGCTGACCTGACATTCAGGCCATATTACATGGGACTCCTAACGCTAGTGGACCATCTCAGAGTGATACTGCTACTAATGGAGGGTCATGTGGTTGCAGGTTATGATGCACTTAACAGACAAGCTGCAACATGATCTCATCAACTCTTCATTACTGTAATGCATGGCCAAGTTATCCAACAAATTCCTAAGGGTGGACCATTCATCAACTGGACACATAATGATGAAATGCTGTCGTGCGGTAGGCAAATCCTAACACAAACAGACAATAACCTCTGAGCTCAATGTCTTGACCTCAACGCTCAGATCAACTGTCACAACGTTAGTCCCCCTATTGAAGCACAAAAGCGATGGAGTCATCTCTGTTTCAGTCACTGTTTGGAGATCACTATTGGATTCCCAAAAGATCAGGTTGATGGTGGGTTGGCCATAAAAGCAGGTGATTTGCACCAATACTCAGGTTAACAGGAGCTTAAATATTTTATAGAGAAACAACAGCGGAGCAGTTTGGGACAGCTTGAGTTAAAGAAAAACTCCACCCAAAAACTCCACTACATGGCCAAATGTATGTGGACATCTGCTCGTCGAACAGCTCATTCCAAAATCATAGGCATTAAAATGGAGTTGGTCCACCCTTTGCTGCTATAACAGCCTACAGTCTTCTGTGAAGACTTTCCACTAGATATTGGAACATTGCTGCGGGGACTTACTTCCATTCAGCCACAAGAGCATTAGTGAGTTCGGGCACTGATGTTGGGCGATTAGGCCTGGCTCGCAGTCAGCGTTCCAATTCATGGTAGTGGATAACATCAACAACTCAAATACATATCACACTCCTATCCAGCAGATACTGAGAACACAACCCTGTTAGCGTATCAGCTTCTCACAGTGAAATTTGTGTGTGTGCCAAAGAGAGAGAACAGATAAAGGGGTCGGCGTTAAAGCGACCCCAGGCCTGAATGAGGATGGCAGGACAGAGCCTGTCTCTCAGTGAGCCAGACAGACTGACACAAAACTTTGAGCTCTCTGAACACTGTTTAAAATGTGGGCAAACAGACAACACAAAACATCTGTCCCTCAAAAAAACAGTTAGCCTGCTCGGGTGAGAGGAAAAACAGAACGAAAGAGGAGAGAGGCTGAGAGTGTAGGAGAAAAATATTGAGCGTAGGAGGGAGAGAGGTTTATATCACTAGGTCTTGGCAGGGTAGCTATATCATCTGCAAATTGAGAGAGGGAGACAGAATGCGCTCACCCTGGTATCTCTTAGTGCTGGGTTAAAGATGAGGTCCCTCTGCATTCACCCTCCATAATGCAATTACGTTCATACTGTATGCAAATGAACCAGACAAACCCGTCCTGAACGCAACCCATTCAAACTACCAATGGCTCAAAACAAAACGCTTCGTCAAGCTCATGTACAAGAGCACACATGCGGACGGTCTAGCATCTAGCATAGTTCCAACTGTCAAAGGTTTGGCAGTTAGTCCTGGAGAAAGATAAAGTGGAAATTCATTGTAGTCATTTTCGCAACAGGCTGGCAAACAAACAAAAATGGACGCTATTTGGCATGACAGGCCCACTGATTCTTCCCCACAGATTAGTCTACATAGCAAACGATGACATCAGAAGCTAAGGAGATGTCATCATAGCTTCAGCAGATATGGGATGTGGACTATGAGCTAACTAGACAGATCAGCTGATATTGCAAGTTATACCTCACCATAGTGGGTGACAAGTTTCACAGATATCCCCCACATTTTAGATATTCAAATCAAACTTTATTAGGGAAATTATATACTGTACAGTCTATATTAGAGGGGAAAAGTGCACATACTTTAGTACAGATCATCAACCTGTATGAGTACTATATTATATTACATAAGTCATCTTCAATAAAAACACTATTAGTGTGTGAGCCATTGAGTGTCAGACAGTAGAACAGTAGCATGTTGGATTTGTATAAAAGCAGTACATGTTACAAAAATTGCTTTTTTCACATCATTGGGTTTAGGATCATGAATAGAAAATCACTTACAGGAAACAAAAGACTAAAACTAAAAGGTGAATTGTCACATTTCAGGGTGCAAAAAGTCATCTTTGTTTAGTTGCTGTTCCTTCCATTTTATTTTATTTATAAAATTCATTTTTTCTTCTCCATAGTACTGTAACAATAGCCCAGTGTTTTTAGTCTGAACAATGTCTTATTTAAAGGCCAGCTACTGTAGTACACTGTACTTCCTGTTCACCTTGAACACGTACCTTCTGGGGACCTTGTCTAAATGTTCCCACACACATCAAAAGACACAAATATCTAGAACTGTCTATATTTAAAGAAAACCAAGGGATGGAAATACAAACTTTCATCTTGTCTGATTAGTTTGGTTTTCTCCTTTCACAGTAAATGTGTGTATTGTGCTGTGAGGTGTCCATACACACTCTGCCCGGCCTAGATCGACTTCCTGTGCGTGAGAGAAAACAAAGCTTTCACCGAGTACTGTGTCACACACTTTGTTTTCTGGCACTTGGAAATCTCACATTGTTCATATCCTGATTCTCAGGAAAGGTGTGATGGAAAACCCCTTTCAATGGCTCACATAGCAAGTTGGCAATAGTTATGGTTTCTACTGCCCTCCTATGCTTACCCATGAGATCCCTCACATAATTTGTCCCCCAGTTTTAGATGGCTATAGTGACTTAGTCAATAGGTTCCATGGGACATACACCGCTAAAGACATCTCGAGACCAGAGGGGTCAGAGTTCATCCCTACAGTAGTGTCCAATCACGGAGAGAAAGACTGGGGTTCCGAGGCCGTTATCATGGTTACGACCGGAGGCCCCTCTACTTCCTGCTATCCCAGCAGCACCTTCTGCAGGCGGTCGGCGGGCACGCTGATCTCATCCTCTGACTCTGCGTCGCTCTGGGGGTTGGAGTTGCAGGGTGAGGTGCATTCTGGGGAGCACAGGTAGTGCATGAGGGGCAACCGGTACTTCCCACAGAAGTCCACAAACTTGATGTGGCGCACGCATGAGTCAAAGTACACGCCTAGGGAGAGAGAAAGCAGATAGACATTGAATAAGCACACTGAAATAAAATACAGACTTATACTTAAATTATATACAGACAGGCAGACAAAGACAGGTACAGAAATACAGACACACACAGTCCAATGAGAAGCTAGCGTGTAGTAAACGTACCGGCACACTTAGGATTGGGGCACTTGCTGGCCAGGTCTAGGTAGTGCAGCAGGTGGCAGGGGATGTCGCAGGGCGAGTATGGAACGTTCCGGCTCTTGATGGTACGACCCGCCAGCTCCAGCAGCGACGGGGGGTCATAGGTCATTTCCTTGACGAAGCGCACAACCAGGGGGTTGCCGCGGAGACTGAGCTCCTGCAGGTGTACCAGGCTGAGTATCTCCCGGGGCAGGTAGGTCAGCAGGTTGTTATGGAGACTGAGGGAACGCAGGGAGTGGAGCCTGATGGGAGAGAGATGGCATGGTCATCGTTATAAGTATTGTAGACAAATCTAGACCTTGTTTAGGTTATGTTAAGTTGTGGTAGTCCACTATGGATGTGGTTCTGTTAACCAGTTGAGTTGTGGTGGTGGTGGTATGCTTTGAATATGGTTTGGTTATGACAGTCTTGTAGCAGTATTATTATTGTGTTATGGTTATATTACGGTTGTGTTTACCTGGTGAGCTGTGGCAGTATGCTCTAGATGGGGTTGTAGTTGTGTTATGGTTATATAACGGTTGCGTTTACCTGGTGAGCTGTGGCAGTATGCTCTAGATGGGGTTGTAGTTGTGTTATGGTTATATTATGGTTGTGTTGTGGTTACCTGGTGAGCTGCGGGGGTACACCCTGTATGCGGTTGTCACACAGGACCAGGTAGCTAAGGTAGGGCAGGTTGGCCAGCTCAGGAGGAATAGAGGTGATCAGGTTACCACCCAAATACAGCAGCTCCAGACTGAGAGAGAGGTTTAAATATGTTTAGCATCATATCGAGTGACAATTAACATGACAGTAACAAGTAGAGCATGAACCCGGACGGTGTTTGGGACTTCAAAAACACCATAACATACTGTATACTGGGCAGTTCCAAAAACACCATAACATACTGTATACTGGGCAGTTCCAAAAACACCATAACATACTGTATACTGGGCAGTTCCAAAAACACCATAACATACTGTATACTGGGCAGTTCCAAAAACAGCATAACATACTGTATACTGGGCAGTTCCAAAAACACCATAACATACTGTATACTGGGCAGTTCCAAAAACACCATAACATACTGTATACTGGGCAGTTCCAAAAACACCATAACATACTGTATACTGGGCAGTTCCAAAAACACCATAACATACTGTATACTGGGCAGTTCCAAGTGCACATGTGGCTAGCCATGTTTTGACACATCAGTACTACACTGGGGTTCCCACATGTTGACATAGATGCTGTACGTGACAGTGATACAGAGTGAGTGAAAGACATCAAAGGGCTGGAGCAGTGGAGCTGCTGAACAAACTGTTTCAAAGGGAAGACACTAGAGAGACACATACCCAGTGGCGTAAAGTACTTAAGTAGAAATACTTTAAAGTACTACTTAAGTCGTTTTTGGCAACTTTTACTTCACTACATTCCTAAAGAAAATAATGTACTTTTTACTCCCTAAATTTTTCTTGACACCCAAAAGTACTCGTTACATTATGAATGCTTAGGAGGACAGGAAAATTGTCCAATTCACGCACTTATCAAGAGAATACGTGGTCATCCCTACTGCCTCTGATCCGGCGGACTCACTAAACACAAATGCATCATTTGTAAACTATGTCTGAGTGTTGCCCCTTGCTATCCGTAAATTTGAAAAACAAGAAAATGGTGCCGTCTGCTTTGCTTAATATAAGGAATTTGAAATGATTTATACTTTTACTTTTGATACTTAAGTATATTTAGAACCAAATACTTTGACTTTTACCCAAGTAGTATTTTACTGGGTAACTTTCTCTTTTACTTGAGTAACAGTCTATTAAGGTACCTATACTTTTACTCAAGTATGACAATTGGGTACTTTTTCCACCACTGCACATACCACAGAGAAGTGTCGGAATTTCTAGCTCTGTCTTTAGCCTGCTGGCATGCGTGTTTACTCTGACTTGTGTAGGGGCCGCCAGAGGTAGAGTCCAAAACATTCGCTCACGGCTAGAGTGACGTTTAGGTCGAGTGTAATCAAATGTGGTAGCAGCAGACAACCATGTGGAGTAGTCCCATACAAACAGATGACTGACTGAGGCAGAGAGAAAAATAAGAATTAATTTATTGTCCACAAATCTCCAATGGAAATGTACACATTCTCAAGTGTTCTGCTTTATCCCATTCCCTCCGAATGGATGAAAGAGTGAAAGGACAGCTGAACACTGGGGAAATTGAGAAAGAGAGGAACAGAGGGAGCAGCAGGCACAGAGAAAAAGGGAGTGAAAGGTAATGTAATTGCCTGACACAGAGAGTGAGCAGTCAGCCCGTCTGGCCTATGGCCTGTCTGTGGAACTGATGACACAGCAGCGACTGGGACAGAGAGGAGGCCATTATGTGTCCTTGGCGCCTGAGCCCTGAGCCAGCCCCTGTCCCTGTGGGACTAAAGGAGCCACTCGGGGCATCTCAATACCTCACTCTGTACAGTTACCCCACTAGCACACACAGCCCTAGTTTCCCTTGAAGTCAAGCCCTGGTGCCCCTGGAGCTCTGTTTCTGGGTAAAATGATCAAAAAGCTGCCTCCCGAGTGGCGCAGCGGTCTAAGGCACTGCATCGCAGTGCTAGAGCCATCACTAGATACCCAGGTTTGATCCTGGACTGTATCACAACCGGCCGTGATCGGGAGTCCCATAGGGCGGTGCACAATTGGACCAGCGTCGTCCATGTTAGGGGAGGGTTTGGCTGGCGGGGTTTTACTTGGCTCATCGCGCTCTAGCGACTCCTTGTGGCGGGTCGGGCGCCTGCACGCTGACCTCGGTCGTCAGTTGAACCTGTTTCCTCCGACACGTTGGTGCGGATGGCTTCAGGGTTAAGCAGGCGGGTGTTAAGAAGCGCAGATTGGAGGGTCATGTTTCGGAGGATGCATGACTCGATCTTCACCTCCCAAGCCCGTTGGGGAGTTCCAGCGATGAGACAAGATCGAAATTGGGGAGAAAAAGGGGGTAAAATACAATAAAATAAAATACAAAGAAGGATAAAAAATAAACAAAAATTGATTCTTAGCAAATGGCAATTTCTCAAGCAAGAATTTAGCTAGGAATGTCTGAGAGTGGTCTGAGTGGAGGATGGGGGCAAAACGGAACATTTGTTGTTATTGGCAGAGAGGTTTGGAACTAGGCTTGGACGATATACTGTTTATTTCGAAATACTGACGGTATGATTTTCAATACAGTTAAAATTGTGGTTGGGGGCATCGCCGGGGCTGTGTGCTACACCACTGCTTATAACTATAAGAAATCGAAGATGTGTCAAATAAATTTTATCCAGCTCAGGGCTCCTACTACGCATTTGGTTTGCTAACTTGCTAGTTAAGTGGCTTGATGTCAAGATCAAGCTTCTTTTTTACAGCAGAGAAATTCAATCCCCTCCTGGATCAAGATCCCTGTTGCCTAAATTGTTATGTGCGTCCCCCAAAAAAGTATTATTATTATTATTATTTATTTATTTATTTATAGTGCCCCTTGTGTGCACTTCTGGTAATACTGTTTTGGTCAGTATGGTACAGAAACAGTATGAAAATCTGGATACTGTCAACCTTATTTGAAATTCTTATTGGTCTATTAACTAAATTTACCACATGTTGATGTCACTATGGAAGGCCCCAAAACCATCCCACCAAAACTGGCTGAGATTTCAGGCAGTCTTTTCAAAAAGGTCTTACAAAAGGGCATCATCATCATTTTCACAAGTTCACAGTATTATTCCAACCACAGTGTGTTTAAAAAAAAAAATATATATATATATATATATATATACACATTTTGTATGCACCGGGCCTTTAAGGGTTTACCATTTTGAAGCTATGAGTCTGTACTTCTTCCTTTGTAGGATTTGTTTTTTAACAATACAAAACATACACACGACAACATCAACTACATCACATCTGCCCAGACCCACATGCTCACACCCCAATCTCCAGCGCACACATCACTCTCCGCCACATGGCCTCAAACTGCACCATTTTGTTTCTCTCCATCACCCACGCACTTTCAACATTTAGATAATGAAGCATTTGACCTTTCTATTGTGTTGACGGAGGATTGGTTGATTTCCAGTGTTAAAGTAAACACTTTTTTTTTCAAGATGATTAACGAGAAAAGTATCTTACTGCATCCTCATATGCCATGTCTTGAAATATGCAGACAGACTGATTAAAAGTAAATTTACATTCTAATACTTCTGGACAGGCAAAATTAATAATAATAATAATAATATGCCATTTAGCAGACGCTTTTATCCAAAGCGACTTACAGTCATGCGTGCATACATTTTTGTGTATCTAACGCCATCCATAACTTTTGGACTTCATAACATTCCCAGAAGGCATGGATTATTGAGTCATTAGTAGTTTTACAAGTTGTGCTGTAGAATTTGTGAATTTTGTCTCTTGTATAATAAATTCTATATTAATTTATTCTGGATTAAGCGTACATTTTTGTTAACTGTAATTTTGTTAGTTATGTTCCAACATTCCCTCCATCTTGTGTCAATATCAGTTCTTTAAAAAATAAGTATTGGTTCCAATTGTTTATATTATTTTTCTAAGAGATTGTCAATAGCATAGGCTCTCTGCAAGGTTTTGTATAGCTTACCTATTATATGAATATCCTTATCTGACTCCTCTGATGTCCAAAAGATTTCAAATCGAAATTGTGATATAAAACTTTTAAATTGCATGAATTAGAAAATATCTACATTGGTCAATCCAAAAATACTTTTTCATGCTGTCATGGAAATAAATGTATTTCCTATTACCAAGTCATTTACAGTTTCTGGAAGGTTAACACCACCCTCAGACTTAGGAAGATGTAAAACTTTCCTTTTAATTCTATGAGTTTTATTTGCCCATATAAAGTCTGTTATGACCAAGTCAACTTTTTTAAAGAATGTCTTCGGATTGCAAAGACCAAACCTGACTATAGTAAACTCACTAAAAAGCAATGATCAAATCAGCTGATGACAGTCAGCCAATAGGGTCAAGATTGGTTAACTATTAAAGCCAATCAGGATCTATTCCAGCTGAAGTCAAAGTACTTACATACTTATCTTTGGTTAGTCTATAAATAGGCTAATGTTTATAACCGCTTGACATGACCCACATCCCGGTTGCACCCACTGATTTGTGACTTTATGATGCATTCTCTCTTTTATAAATGTTAATAGGCTATATAGTCAGATCATAAACTGTGCTCACTGATATTAGTAGTCCCCTGTAGCTCAGTTGGTAGAGCATGGCGCTTGCAAAGCCAGGGTTGTGGGTTTGTTTCCCACGGGGGGCCAGTATGAAAAATGTATGCACTCACTAACTGTAAGTCGCTCTGGATAAGAGCGTCTGCTAAATGACTAAAATGTAAATGTAATTAGAAGAATGTGACCTGTGGGTGGCGGGTAGATGGAAGAATGACTTGATCTCCAGTAGGTCGCTGTGACCTGTGCTAAGATACCACTGGCAGACTTGTCTCAGGGTAAACACGACATGAGAATTAAACAGACTTTTTCCAGATGACATTGTTTTTTACTATCCTGGGAACACACTACCCTTGCAGTTTATACAAACTTGGCATTTGTTCACATATTAACCACGAGAAGCTTGAATATGTGTGCGTGTGCTCGTGTGTGTCATGACATCTCTGCATACGTGTGTGACTTGACTATGTGGAAGCTAGTGTTTCTGTGTGTGGTTGATGAATAAGAGTTAGTCATCCCAGAGGTTGTTTACGTGTATACTGCGCAATGTGTACCCACCACATGAACCATATAAATGTCCTCCTCTGAGCAACTTAGGCAGTCAGTCATGCCCTGGCCCTAGCCAGAATAGATTCCGACCCTACACTGGCTAACAGCGCCAATGGGGTCGGACAGGCTTCCTGTTTAGATTAAGACACTGCGGAGCTGGTGTGAGATGTGGCTCAGAAAACATACCACAATCCAGGGATAAGAAATGCATTGTATTCCACATTTTACCAATAGGAGAGAGAAGAATAAATGACACCGAGAAGAATGAACAACTGCTCGTTTTTTAGCAGTCGTGCAATCTTCTCGGTGTAACAGTTGGGATAATGGGACAATTCGGAGTTGAGGTATATTTTCCGAGCCATATCTGGCGCCGGCTCTGCTGTGTCTTAATCTAAACAGGAAGCCTGTCCGACCCCAGTGCAGCTGTAAGCAAGCGTAGGGTTGGAATCTATTCTGGCTAGCACAGGATCAGTTAAGATTCCCGATAGCTCACACACCTGTCAGTGTTGGTAAAGGCCTGATTGCCTGGTAATTGTTATTGGCTGCAAGTTGTGATAGCATACCGTTTTCATTTTCTGAAAAACATACAGGTTAGGATATAGTCTGCTGATACAGTAGCCTACTCAAGGAGTGAGGATGTGTTGAAATCCATTTAACCATAGTCCTGGCAATCAAGGGAGCATATTGTGTTTGTAAAGGCAAGCATCCATGGAAGTAGGCTACAATACAGCATAGCACAGCTTGTTCCCACCTCTCTGCCTCGGCACTGATGTAATGACATCAGTTAAGCCTTTACAACAACCCAAACCCCCAGCAGCATTGGCAGTTGAACTGGCCTGTACCCGCTCTACTCACTCTTCGCCCCTGAACCTGATTACACTATGCCTAAACTGGTCATTGTGACAGTTTCAGGCAGTTGACACTTTTGCTAATTATGTGAAAGGTTGTGATGCAATCACTGGTGAACGGTCGTCACTAGTTACTACAGCCGCAAAGACATTAACCCAGCCTATTTCAAAAATGTATCTTCTTAAAAATTGAATTTAAACCTAACCACACTGCTAACCGTATGCCTAAACCAAACCTTAAATTAAGCAACAACAAAAAAAACTACGTTTGGTTTTCCTAATTTTTTATGATATGCCTATAGCCAATTGTGACTTTGCTATCTAGTGGAAACCATGGTGAACTGCAACATTGTAACAAGCTAGTGCGACAACTCTGTAGCTAGTGATGGCCTGATGGGCATTCCAAGTTTTTTTCGGTGAGCCGGCTCATTTGGATCGGTTCATGTAAGAGCCGGTACATTTGGCTCCCAAACGGCTCTTCGTTCAAAGTGCTTACAAATCGACCTAGAACCATGAAACAATTGCAAATCACCTATGTAAAGCTAAAAGTAGGCTACCATTATGTCAGATCGTGAAATGCGCGTTGAAATACATGTTTACCTGGCCAAACTATTAGATCGCCTGCAAAAAAAGTTGCTCCCCCAAATGTATGACGCACTCTCCCCACTATTTATTGTTTCACCCTCTATACTTGTCTTTTTTTACTTTGCAGAAAAACGTTTTGAGCTCAAAAAGCAGTATGCAATTCAGGGAGCCAAACGGACGACTCTTTCACCGATGCTATTCGGTTCCCGACGTTCAACAAGAAGATCCGTTCGTTATCGAACGAACCATCACTATCTTTAGCAGCTGGTGAGGCCGCACGTCAAGTTATGTAGTCTACATACCTGGTTAAGTTTTCTATTTCTGCAGGAATACTTTGTAGTCTGTTTCCCCCAAGGGAAAGTGATTGTAGCCGCTGCAACTTCAGGAACTGCGCTGGCATCTCCTCAAATCGATTGCCACTTAGATTCAACACCTCCAACGGCAAAGATCCGAACTCCTTGGGCAGCGAGAATTCGTCCAGACGGTTGTTCTTGGATATTAGTGTTCTGAGCTTGGTTAACCGAGTAATGTCTTCACAGATGACCGATAGTCCGTTGTTGCTAATGTCCAGAAACTCGAGGTTGGAGAACATGCAAACTGATCCGGGCAGCGAGGCCAATCGGTTGAAGCTTAGACACAACTGCTTGGTGTCCCTCTTGCGCTCCTCGCTGAGATTGACCAAACTCAAACTGTTCAAATTCCGACGCGACAAGTCTAAAACACCCTCACCATGACCGTGTGCGGCTCCTTCATGCAAATCCATTTCGCAGTGTAGGCTACTCTTCAATATTCTGAACGAAGTGGTGGTTGCAAACTCTTTATGGGAATCCAATGGCCACGATTTGCCGTCTGTTTCACATCAATATTCCTTGCAGTGGCCGAACGGTGGCGACCCACATTGTCGCTAAGAATGTGTTCCCAGGCAGTGGGCTGCATCTGATAAAAAAATAAACCTGCTCGGTAAATTACATATGGAAAAAATGATTGTGTAGAATAGTTCACTGTGAATTGCCAGAACCTTGCTGGTACAATTGACAAAGCAACTGTTTAGCAATTAGTATTATAGTACATGTTTCGGGGTTGGCGAGCAGTAGCTCCGCCCTAATTTAACCCGTTCATTGGCTTACATGCATTATCTCAGTTGGCTCTGATATAGTTATAGAGTAACATCCCGAAGTTTGTCACCCGTTTGCTAGTAAACAGAATAATTGTTGTGCATAGAGTTGTAATTGGTACGTAATAAAGTAAAACTGGGAGAAAGTTGAAGGTGGTAATTAACTCAATTTGCAGTCTGCTCCCTGGGCCCCTTGCCCTTGGATATTATGCAATCATCCAGTAGTATTACATTGTGCAAGAACGCCCACTAGAGTGTGTAGATTTTTTTTTTTTACTTGCACAACCTGGTTATAAAAGCAACCTCAATTCCCCCATATCCACCATAAAACACAATGCTGCCTAGCAGAATACAAAAATATTCACTGTTTGCAATGTTAAGTGACTTAAAAGGTATTCTCAAATTACAGCCACTGTATGGACCAGATGACATTGGAACACTGCCTCTTGGACCAATATCAATGGAATGTAGGCTAGAGCTTCTGTAGAAAACCACAACAGCAACACTTCCTGTATAGACTGAGCTCTGACGCATGAACGTGATTCATTTAAGTGTCTGGACATGAAGGATCACAGACAGACACATGCACAGGCACAGGCACATGCACACATTCACACAACATTGCCAGTGACCTCACTATATGATACTTAGGTGCCGATACGATATGTATTGCGAGTCTCACAATTCATTCAATCCCCTCCTGGATCAAGATCCCTGTTGCCTAAATTGTTATGTGAGTCCCCCAAATAATAATTATTAGTAGTATTTGTTTTATAGCGCCCCTTGTGTGCACTTCTGGTAATACTGTATTCCCCAGTATGGTACAGAAACAGTATGAAAATCTGGATAGTGTCAACCTTATTTGAAACTCTCTTATTGGTCTATTAACTACATTTACCACATGGTGATGTTACCATGGAAGGCCAAAACTCCACCCCACCAAAACTGGCTGAGATTTCAGGCAGTCTTTACAAAAAGCATTTACAAAAGGGCATCATCATCATTTTCACAAATTCACAGTATTATTCCAACCACAGTGTGGAAATGTGATTTTCCTGTGTTTAAAAAATATATATACATTTTGTATGCACTGGGCCTTTAAGGGTTTTCTCAAAAGTGGGGTCACAACCTGAGTGGCGCAGTGGTCTAAGGCATCGCAGTTCTAGCTGTGCCACTAGAGATCATGGTTCAAATCCAGGCTCTGTTGTAGCCGGCCGCGACCGGGAGACCCATGGGGTGGTGCACAATTGGCCCAGCGTCGTCCAGGGTAGGGGAGGGAATGGCCGGCAGGTATGTAGCTTAGTTGGTAGAGCATGGCGTTTGCAATGCCAGGATTGTGGGTTCGATTCCCATGGGGGGCCAGTATAAAAAATACCTTCATTAACTTTCAAAGCAGCATAACCTTCCCCATCTACAGTGTATAATTTATCATTTGAAGCTATGAGTCTGTACTTTTTCCTTCGTAGGATATATATTTTTTAACAATACAAAACATAGACATACAAACGACAAAATCACACAAACATCAACTACATCACAATTGCCCAGACCCACATGCTCACACCAAAATCTCCAGCGCACACATCACTCTCCGCCACATGGCCTCAAACTGCACCATTTTGTTTCTCTCCATCACCCACGCACTTTCAACATTTAGATAATGAAGCGTTTGACCTTTTTATTGTGTTGATGGAGGATTGGTTGATTTCCAGTGTTAAAGTAAACATTTTTTTCAAGATGATTAACGAGAAAAGTATCTTACTGCATCCTCATATGCCATGTCTTGAAATATGCAGACAGACTGATTAAAAGTACATTTACATTGTAATACTTCTGGACAGCCAACTTTCTAACTCTCCCATAACCTTTGGACTTTATAACATTCCCAGAAGGCATGGATTATTGAGTCATTAGTAGTTTTACATGTTGTGCTGTAGAATGTGAATTTTGTCTCTTGTATAATAAATTCTATATTAGTTTATACTGGATTAAGCGTACATTTTTGTTAACTGTAATTTTGTTAGTTATGTTCCAACATTCCCTCCATCTTGTGTCAATATCAGTTCTTTAAAAAAAAAGTATTGGTTCAAAAGTTTATATATTTTTTCTAAGAGATTGTGAATAGCATAGGCGCTCTGCAAGGTTTTCAATCAGGATCAATTCCAGCTGAAGTCAAAGTACTTACACACTTATCTTTGGTTAGTCTATAAATAGGCTACTGTTTATAACCACTTGACATGACCCACATCCCGGTTGCACCCACTGATCACCGCCTGGTACGACAACTGCACCGCCCTCAACCGCAAGGCTCTCCAGAGGGTGGTGTGGTCTGCACAACGCATTACTGGGGGCAAACTACCTGCCCTCCAGGACACCTGCAGCACCAGATGATATCATCAAGGACATCAACCACCCGAGCCACTGCCTGTTCACCCCGCTATCATCCAGAAGGAAGGTCAATACAGGTGCATCAAAGCTGGGACCGAGAGACTGAAAGACAGCTTCTATCTCAAGGCAATCAGACTGTTAAATAGCCATCACTAGCACGTTAGAGGCTGCTGCTGCCTATTGAAATCACTGGCCACTTTAAGAAATGGAACACCAGTCACTTAAATAATGTTTACATGTTTTTTGTTTTTTTGTTTTTGTCATTTACCATTTACATATCTTGCACTACTCATCTCATATGTATATACTGTATTCTATACTATTCTACTGTATCTTAGTCTATGCCACTCTGACATCGCTCGTCCATATATGTATGCATTCTTAATTCATTTCTTACTTAGATTTGTGTGTATTGGGTATATGTTGTGAAATTGTTAGATATTACTGCACTGTCGGAGCTAGAAGCACAAGCATTTCGCTACACCTGCAATAACATCTGCTAAACATGTGTATGTGACCAATAAAGTTAGATTTGATCTCTGTGCGTTTTCTCTTTTATAATGTTAATAGGCTATATAGTCAGATCCTAAACTGTGCTCACTGATATTAGAAGAATGTGACCTGTGCGGGGAGGGGGGGGTAGATGGAAGAATGAATTGATCTCCAGTAGGTCGCTGTGACCTGTGCTAAGATACCACTGGCAGACTTGTCTCAGGGTAAACACGACATTGATTTTTACTATCCTGGGAACACACTGCCTTTGCAGTTTATACAAACTTGGCATTTGTTCACATATTAACCACGAGAAGCTTGAATATGTGTGCGTGTGCTCGTGTGTGTCATGACATCTCTGCATACGTGTGTGACTTGACTATGTGGAAGTGAGTGTTTCTGTGTGTGGTTGATGAATAAGAGTTAGTCATCCCAGAGGTTGTTTACGTGTATATTGCGCAATGTGTATCATACCACATGAACCATTTCCTCTTCTGAGCAACTTAGGCAGTCAGTCATGCCCTGGCCCTAGCCAGAATAGATTCCGACCCTACACTGGCTAAGAGCGCCAATGGGGTCGGACAGGCTTCCTGTTAAATTAAGACACTGCGGAGCTGGTGTGAGATATGGCTCAGAAAACATACCACAATCCAGGGATAAGAAATGCATTGTATTCCACATTTTACCAATAGGAGAGAGAAGAATAAATGACACCGAGAAGAATTAAAAACTGCTCGTTTTTTAGCAGTCGTGCAATCTTCTCGGTGTAACAGTTGGGATAATGGGACAATTCGGAGTTGAGGTATATTTTCCGAGCCATATCTGGCGCCGGCTCTGCTGTGTCTTAATCTAAACAGGAAGCCTGTCCTACCCCAGTGCAGCTGTAAGCAAGCGTAGGGTCGGAATCTATTCTGGCTAGCACAGGATCAGTTAAGATTCCCGATAGCTCACACACCTGTCAGTGTTGGTAAAGGCCTGATTGCCTGGTAATTGTTATTGGCTGCAAGTTGTGATAGCATACCGTTTTAATTTCCTGAAAAACACACGGGTTAGGTTAGGATATAAAGTCTGCTTCAGTGTACTGATACAGTAGCCTACTGAGGGAGTGAGGATGTGTTGAAATCCATTTAACCATAGTCCTGGCAATCAAGGGAGCGTATTGTGTTTGTAAAGACAAGTATCCATGGAAGTAGGCTTAATTACAGCTACTGATAACAGTCTGCTGTAGTTTACAACAATTCTAATTTCTAAAGTGGAAGTTGGGAGAGTTTTATTCGGGTGGTTCAGTGAAACAATTATAGTTTCTGAGGTGGAAGTTGGGAGAGTTATATTTTTTTTGGTGAGGGAGGCCTGCTCTCTCCTTTCCCAGATGTTTAGTTCATTTCATTCCAATCTCCTCTGCATTATTGTAGCCATCTGCTGCAGCCTGTCAACTATGCCTCTGCCTATCCCTGTTCTCTCCTCTCCGCACAGGCTACACAAACGCCTCACACCGCGTGGCTGCTGCCTCTCTAACCTGGTGGTCCCTGCACGCACCACACACCTGGAGTTCCAGGTCTCAGGCAGCCTCTGGAACTGCCGTTCTGCCGCCAACAAGGCTGACTTCATCCCAGCCTATGCTACCCTCCAGTCCCTCGACTTCCTGGCGCTGACGGAAACATGGATTACCACTGAAAACACTGCTACTCCTACTGCTCTCTCCTCGTCTGACCATGTGTTCTCGCATACCCCGAGAGCATCTGGTCAGAGGGGTGGTGGCACAGGAATCC